CCTCAATCCATTCTTTCATTTGAATCCAGCTTTGTTTGGACACTTGTGTTATTAAATCTACCAAGGAACGTGAATGGTGTCTCACTGAGGGTTATCTGTGGAGAGTGTTTGTTGCTTTGTAGATTCCAAGTATGGCTCAATAACTTCTTTTCCTTGTAATATGCAGGACCTCTGTTTATAACGGCTCTTACATCATGTGATGCTCTTTACCATCAGGAAGCTGCTGTGGGAATGCTTTTCCACTTTTATGAGAAGCCATGATAAATGAAGTGCCATTTCCTCCATGCCATGCCTCTTTGTTTCTTCTCCTTAGATACCAGCTACATTATAATCATGAATCTACATTTCTGAACATCCTTCATCATTCTGATGTCTTTCTGTTTTGTTTGTGTGTGTGTGTTGCTTTTTTTGTTTGTTTTTGTTTTGTTTTGTTTTGTTTTGTTTTTTCTCCTCTCAGCTACATTCTTGTCTCTTAGCTGGAGCAAGTAGCAACATGAGCTTTCTCACTTGCTTGTTTCACAACAACCTTCTATGTACCTATTAATAAAAGTACATTATGCTAACATATAACTAATGTCAGGCAGTGTACTTGACAGAACCAGGGGTGTTTTGTAATGCCAAGTTGTTTGATTCCCGTCGACCTCCCACAAAAAGCCAGAAATAAGTAAATAACTGTACTGCTGGGGTCTTCTTCTCCCCCTTTGACAAATCTAATTGCTTCTGTCATACATCTTATCTGCAAGCTAGTGATCCAACCTAAATAAAAGTGTCATTATAAAGGTTTTTAAATTAACTAAGAATGACACAAGGCAGTTGAATGTTGGTTTTCACAAGCACTGTGTTTCATAAAGGCTTCCACCTCAGCAATGCTAATTTTTCAAATCAAAATGTAATATCAGTGCAGCAAACCCAAAACAGAGTGGGAAATTGAACTTCTATCTTTCTCCATCATCAGAAATAGGTGTCCTGTAGTCAGAACTGAGCTGACAGGTTTATCAATAGTGTGTGAATCAAAACTGAATCCAGCTTAGCCTTCTAGGACTGTGTTGGTTCCATAATATTAAAAGTAGTAAAATAGTCACTGCATTTAACACTTACAAACAAAGTAATAATAGCAATAAAAAGATAAACAAAAAACATCAAATGCAATTCAAAGAAATTCAGTGAAACACAGGAAGATGATACACTTGGTATGATGGCACTGTCTTCTACAATCCCCATGCTTTCTACACTTACATTTGAAGTAACAGTTTGTTACTTCAGTTATGTCCTTTTTAATTGTTTATATTACATATAAATAATTGTTTCTATTACATATAAAATGTAATATGATGACACTGCCTTCCTTAGGGAGTGAAGCTGCATTTGTAATAGCCTTGGAAGAAAGGAAGAAGGTTCTCTGAAATAACTGAACAATAACTACTTAGAATCAGAGACTGGAACAAGAATTTAACATGATGAGAATCTGGAGAAAACACTCAAATGGATTATATTAATCTTCAGGAAGCAGGAAGCCACACAGAAGCTATAAAGCTGAATGTGAAAAGAGAAAATTCTATTAACAGTATGAAAAAGTCTGCTGGCAAAGGTCTATGGCATACAGGTATGAGATTTTGCAATCAGTAACAGAAAGGAAAGAGCTGCACTCCTTGAAAAATGCCAAACAGAAAATATTATACAGCACAGTGTGTTTTCTCATCTACTCTTTCAACGTGTTTAGGACTGACTTTAGAATGAAAACCTTATGGAATAATTCTTCTCTTTTCCTCTCTTCTCGGGTTTATCTGTAAAACATGACTGTGTGAATGTCAATGGCTGTTTACTTGTCATCGAGGAAATAGTAGCAGACCATTCAAATTCACATTTTTGCGTTACAAAGCACGGTATTTAAAGGATTAGAATGTAATTTACAGATTATTTTTGCAAAGTGAAATTTACAGTACAAGAAAGATATGCTAGATAGTGCTAATTTTTGTTAAATTCTGTCCCTAAATAATTGCCATACTGCAAATAAAAAACTTGGATGCCATCCAAGTGTGAAAAATCGATAATAGTAATTGTGCTTTCTAAGCAGAAATCCTGCTACTGATTTAAATAGGACAAATATGTTATACATGATCAGAAGTAAGAGTTTAGGAAGGAACTTCTTTATATTTGCATTATTCTGTATAGTGATTTTGTTTCAAATAGAAATACTTCATGCATTACTATGTCTCCTTAATAAGGAAAGGGTACTACTTTGGAGTCAAGCTACCATAGAAATTGAGTCTTCGAGCTAGGTGAATTTTCAGCTATTTGCTATTTAATCTTTTCTCACTTACTTTGACAAATACTTTTGTTTTGTTACATTACCCATAATATCAGATTGTTAATAGAAACATCTAGAGAATATAAGATCCTACATGCTCTTATTGTTCTTTATTTACACCAAACATTATTTCTGAGTAAATGCTTTCCAGGCTAATGTGTCTCCTGTTACTCTTCTGAGTTAAGATCCAGGATTTTTTTTATTATTACAGCAGTGACCGTGTTGCTTCCAGACTGAAAGTCACACACCTTGTAATGTAGTAAATGCTGGTTTATGACCCCTTGTGGTACTGAATGAAAGATAATAGTGGTACATAATACTCTCCCACTGTAAATTAGCCATTCTAGTTGAAATGTGTTCATAGAACTTGTATCTGTTGTTATGAGGCTAGACCAGTTACAATGTGCCTATGGCACTATTAAAATCATAGAATCATTCAGGTTGGAAAAGACAACTTAGATCATCTAGTCCAACCTTTAACCTGGTACTAAAGTCCGCCACTAAACCATGCTACTGCATTCTACATGTACGTCTACATGTTTCTCTAAGACCTTCAGGGGTGGTGACTCAACCACTTCCCTGGGCACTCTATTTCAATGTCGCACAACCCTTTCAGTAAAGAAATTTCTCCTAATACCCAACCTAAACCTCCCCTGGTGTAACTTGAAGCCATTTCCCATCATCACTTGGTGCTTGGGTAAAAAGCCTGATCCCCACCTTGCTACAGCCTCCTTTAAGGTAACTGTAAAGTGCAGTAAGGTCTCCCTTGAGCTTTCTTTTCTTCAAGCTAAACAACCCTAGCTCCCTTAGCTGCTCTTTGTAAGACTTGTTTTCGAGACATTTCACCAGCTTCATTGTCCTTATTTGGACATGCTCCAGCACCTCAATGTCCTTCTTGTAGTAAAGACATCTTATCTTATATGCAGATAAGTAAGAATGAGGACTCGTACTCAAACAAGTACTGCTGCTACCACAGCTAACATCAGAGCAAAAAGTCAGTGTTAAGATTGCATTGAGCACTCCTGCAAAAAACAAATTCAGTCACTCATGATTATTTGGATTAAGTTAATATTGTTAGGAAGTTCCTACAGTGGCTGATCAGATGTTTGTCTGTGAATCCACATCCACCACCACTGCCACAGAAAATGTTTAGAATCTTCTGTGGGAGACAGAGCATGAATGAAAACACTTAGCTATTTGCTGCAAAGTCATGTTGAATGCTGCAGAAGCACAGAATACCACCACTAAACAGGTTACCATTAATATGCTGCCATCCCCTAAAGACAGATGTATATCTCCCATCCCATCTTTATGAAGTTTTTATTGCGTATTGACCTCTATGAATAAGACCAAAGATAGCTGATTTTGGAGGGGTCTAGAAGTTCACTTCCTCCTTTCTGAGGCAGTTGGAGCCACAGTAATTCTCTCGATTTTTTGAAAGAATAAGGTGTTTGCCCGCCCTGCTCCTCTACAAAAAGTTTTCTTGAATCTCTCTTCTTTTGCTTAACAAGACTTTAAAAGTAACCTGGATCTACTCACTGGCAATTTATCTTCGCCTGCTCTTGTACTACTTTAACTTTTAAGCTCAAATAGCAAGCCCATTTTAACTTCTTTTGAACACACTACACTTAAAAATAGTTATATCTTCTATCAACAACCAGTATGGTAAGCTGAAAATCCCAGTTCACCCACTTTCTTATGATAGAATAAATTCTATCAGATTTTTTTTTTTTTTATGCTTACACAACAAACCCCATTCATTTGAGCTCATACTGAAACTTCCTGTGCAGGTGACACTCATTGGACACAATTCCACCATTGTTTTCCCAGTGGTATGCATCTTTGCTAACTATCCCCCAGCACTTACAAACAAATGTCCATTTCAGAGCTACATCACATTGCTGGCTTAGAGCCAGACCTTAATCAACCAGTGTGCCCATTTTTTTCCTTCTTGTGGTTCCAGTTGAAAAGACACAGCTTGTAGCCAAAACTCATAGTATAAGCTCTTCTGCATATGCTTGTATACTTTGCAGTGTTACAATCCATTTCTATTATTCCAGTTAACAAGGGCAACCATTGCTTTTTCAAATATGCCAAACCTTATCAATATTGGTAGTTTCCAATGTGATGCCATCAGAGAAATCCATAAGTGTGCTCCCACTTCCATTCAGACTTCCTGAATCACTAATGAAAAATAATAGGTAAAAGAAGTAGTTAAAATCCAAGTAATCGTGTTTACTAGCTCTATAAGATCCTGTAGTCTCTGGGTAAGTTTTATATTAATTACAAAGAATAGCAGTGATAATTTCCTTGTTTCTTCAGTACATATTCTCTAAGAGCATACTAGGAAGTAAACATTGCACTTCGGCATGTATCACAAGGCAGTGAAGAGAGTTGACTTACATGATGACTGATAGGTGCTGGAGAGGTACTATGCATTTTCACAGCGTTATGAATGAAATAAAAGAAATTTTATCTACTGTTACTGCTGTCTACTTAGAGCCAACTCATACCTAGCATTAACTCCTCAGTCTTCTCTTTTTTTTTTTTTTTTTTTTTTTTTGTAATATTTACCTGTAGACAGATGTTCGTATAATATGGTGATCAGAAGAACCAGCTCTTCTGCATGTGTCTCAGGACTTAGTGTGTAGGTGGTAACTTTAGTATAAACTTCTCTGCTCCTCTCTGGCAGGTTGGAGAAACAGGGTGTTGCTGATTGTCCAGCAGTATCAACCATCTTTTGTGTGTTCATGACACCAGAGACCCGTCTTTTCTCATTCAAAGTGGACGTGACAAGATTGACTGATCCTTTCATCCTTCATTCCCTCTACAGGTAAAGCAACAGAGCTCTGAAATGTAGCAGTGCTTAGAAGAATCTCAGAGGTGCATGATGTAGAGACATTGGTGTGATTAGCCTTTCTGTTCAATGGTCACCTGTGATGCTCCTCACATATTCAGTAAAACAAGCAGAAACTCATAAACAGGCCTCCTGGAGAATGGAAGAAAAACCAGTGACAGTTCTGATAAGCAAACAAGTGATGTAGCACTGTAGGACTAAGCTGTCTTCCAAAGACAAAGTTCATGTCTGTTTACTTCTAGTATACTAAGAAAGTAAAGGGGTACCTCATTTAGAGCGTCACTGCTTCAATCTTTACAGATCCTTTAAAAACATACATATATAAATGCCCACAGAAATACTGTCTTTGGGAGGACATACATTTTGACGCAATCTGGGGAGAAAACATTCATAGCCAGGAACACATACAAATAAGAAAGAAAATTCTAATATGTCATCACTGATTTTTTTTATTATTATTTAAGTCACAGCAAGTCTAAAATCCATGTGAACATTCAAAACATCAGAGATTTTGCATTTACTTGGAGATTTACATTAATGCAGCTGAAAAGCTGCAGCCCTTCAGCACAGTTTGTTTCAGGATGCCTGTGCCCCTTTTCTGCCCTCTTGTTCCTTCATGCATTGAAGTTTACTCATGATGCAACCCCATCAGGAACTGGAAACAAATGTTTTCATTGTCTGGTGAAAATTCAACTAAATATCTTGTTTTTTTTTAGAGAGTAATGTTTTCAAACTGACAAAGCTGTGGTGTAACATTAAAAATATGGTTTCACTATAACATTTCATGCAGTCCTAATTTTAGCCCAGTCACATGGATTTATCTAGATGGCAAAGAATCAGGCCACTGTGTTGGTGCTGTATGTATAAAACATATGCCTTCTTTGGAAAGCACAGTGCCCTTTTCACAGTGCAATTAAAGCATTAACATGGTGCCAGAGACAAGCTAGAGCTAGATATATTTTTCCAGTGTAAGAGAAGGGGTATTAGTTTTGTTCCTGAAAATAGTCACAGGCATGATGTGTAAACTGTGTCTCACAGAGGACATCCACAGCCCCATTACTGTCTCATTCTAGCAGTATTTAATACTTGTTCTTTGCCTGCTCATAAAATAAATTGGTGAATTTCAGCCTCATAAGTGTATGTGGCATATGACTCCATGGGCAAAGGTTTATTGAAGGCCTGTTCTTATTCCAGATCCTCTGTGTTATAGAGGTATTTGGGATCTGTTTGAAGCTTGCTGCTTGGATGGTGCCTTTAACCATAGGTCAGCAACAAGCATGAGAAAGTTGGAACACTAACTAAGCCTTACTATCAAAAAAAACCACAAAACATATGATGTGTACTAACTAAATCTTACGGGAAAAAAAGGATTTTATCTTTCAATTTTCAATTTCACAAATAAATGTGCCTGAGCAGTTCCTGTAAAAACAACAGATTTGCCTGTGGAATTAGTCCACACATCTTGCAGGACTGCTGAACTCATAAAACTGCCTTATGTTAGACTATGTGTAAACTGTAGGTTTTAGAATGTTATCCCTGTGATATAAAATAAAATAAAATTGACTATTTTTAAAATTCTTGTTAAAAAATATAAATTACAGAGGGGTGATGAAGCATGCTGTCATCATGAGTAGCTGGATAGATGGTTTCTCAATTTATTAATGTTTCTTCTATTTCATCATTGAGGAAATACAAAGAGGCTGTCACTCTTGACATGAGTTTTCATTCTGAAAGACAGTAAATGTGTATAAAAAGCTGTACTGCCCCTTGGTCTTCCCAATTCCTTTCCCAAAAGAAAATACCTAACTGCAAAGAACAAACCTGGCACAATGGTTAAAACACTAACTTTTAAACCTGAAAGTAGACCAGTATCTGTCTTACCCTTCTGAAAGTCTCCTCAGTACAGAGAGGGAGCCCCATCTCAAATATTTCCTGGCTATCAGGTGCGATCACATTTTCTGAGAGATAAAATTGACATAATTTGTAAGCAAAATTCAATCTGTTTTAAGACATTCTTTATTCCCAACAATTTCTATTCCAGTATGATAATTCATTGGTAATCCAAACAAATGGCAGCATGAATATCTTAATAATCAGATTTGTCATAGAGTCAAGTGTCTGCTACATTTTCTCACAGGTGTCATGAAATGAATGTAATTTTGAGACATAAAAGAATAAAAAATGTGTATATCTCCCTCCTTTAAGGGTCTAAGTTTGCTCTCTCTTCAGTGCTTCTAGCTGAGTCTATCTGATCATTCAGGAAAAGCTGGGAATCAGTCACATGTTTAGACGATACAACAAAAATGTAATCTGTAATCAGTCAATTATGGGTGCCAGAATGCATGAAGAATGCAGAATTCTTCCAAAACTACCAGCACAGTAAAAAGTTGAATGCAATTATTTCATTCTCAATTGAATCCTCTTTTCTCTAAGGTATCTGCAGTAAAATACAAAAACAGTATGTTCCAGCAAAATGGTTCAGAATTTCTTTTTTTACTTTTTTTTTTTTTTTTTTCCCATTCTGTAGATGAAGGGTACCAAGTATCTGGATTATCACCTTCCAGTAATAATCATAAAACCTTGCTGACTCTATGATATTGCCATTCAATGACAGCTGAGTGGCAGATCTTGAACGATGACAGCTTACCAGCAATTTATGCCAGTATACCAAGCTCCGACAAAGTGAAATGTAGTCAGCATCAGGTATGCCCTCAGTCCTCACTGTCTTCAGTCTTGGTAAAAATAAAAAAATAAAAAAAATGCTGTTTTTCCAAAAGGTTTCATGCCTGTTTAAAATTCTTCTGACAATTAGTGATATGCCACTTACTGACTGAAGACTATGAAAGTGAGGATGTGGAAGTCTTGCTGGCTTTGGCAAAATGATCGTCTCCAAAGTGAAATGGATCATGAACAACAGATGGAGATACAAAATCATAGCGCATTTCAGAATTAAAAGAAAATATTTTTTAGAATGCTTCCTAGGCTCCACCTCTGCAGATCTGCAACAGCGGAGAGCTGTCTGTCACAGCAAGGAACATCACACACCCTCAAAAGCAATCTGCAGATCCCAATGATAAAATTCAGTTTATTTTAATGAGAAAGAAAATATGTTATATAAGGGAAATAACAGTTAGATTTAGCATGATCATCATTTTGTACTAGTAAAAAAATCATTGTTTTTGCTAGTTAGTTTGTTTGGGAGAGGCATTTTGAAACCCAAATATTTAAGCTAATATTGAAATACAACTGCAAACTCACTTGCTATGAAGTAATTTTACTGGGACACAACCATGGTTGGATGTTTTTCTGCTTCCTGTTAAACTATCTGCCAATTCACCAGTAGTGATGAAATCACCTAGGGTATGCTAAGAGCAGAACCTTTATGCTTGTCCTGTCCCATGTAGAACTAATTATTCTCCTCTCTTCTTCATAAGTGCAGGCATTAATTTCAGCATCTTCCTGATGACCAAATAAATGTAAATGAAAACGAGCCATCAGTGTCATTCTACTATAAGAAGATTACTATAAGAAGAACATTCAGTCTGGGCCTGGAAGCTGTGTAAACAATTCGTACTAGGAACAGTCTTTTTCTTGTATTTATTCTGAAGAAGTACTATGTATCCAAGTTGTCTGTTGTACTATGATGAGCTGAACTAAAAAAAAAAAAAACAAACAAAAACACATCAGGCTTCAGCTTGACCTGATGTGAAAGTTCATTTTGGTCATTTATAACCTCCTACCATATTTAAGATGGAATTCTCTGTATTTGAAACTTATCTTGTATCTCCCTGAGGCTAATTAAACAATATCTCATCAAATAAACAAACAAACAAACAAATATAAAAATGGCAAGGCAAGTCTTCCTTTGTAACTGATATTGTCATTAATTTTAAGTAAATGGGAGAGGTTGTCAGAACTTGCAAAAAGTATTCTTTACCTTTAGGTTGCCTCAGCTTTTAGTACCACTGATGTACTTTATTCTGGACAGATTATTAAGAATCTGTTCTGAAACTCTGCCTGAAGAGACGGAAAGGAATGGTTTGGACACATTTGTTTGGATATACATTTGTTTAACATTTGGCCTATATTCTGCTTAGCAACAGTTCTTCACATAAACTATCAAGGTTTTGGGGGGAGAACCTAGGTAACTCAGCATAACTCTATTAGTATCAGTGGTGCCATAACAGCTTAAATCAGCTGGGGTTCCTGAGAAATGATTTTGCTTAATTGGTTCTGTTCCCTAGAAAATGGATGGAATAATCAATGACTATGTTAACATGGCTTAATATTAACAACTCTTCAGGAGACAAATGTCCCCAGAGCTGACACTGGCTTTGTTCAAAGAGGATGGAATTTTGTAGACTCTGGACTGTGGCTGACTGTGACTTTCAATCAGAGTCAATCTCCAGTCTTCTCATTCATTTATCATCTAGAAATAAGGGGAAATATGTCTGTGTTCAATGTCAGCTAAATATACTTTTTTAATTATTATTATTATTATTCTATCTGTCTATCTACCTATATATTTATACAAAACTGTCTTTTACCTTTTCTTTAAAGCATTGATTCTTCTCCCCATGGTTAAAAGCAGCAGCTCAGTATCCACCAGTAATCCTAAATAAAGAAATTAAAATAAATAAAATAAATAAAGTAAATAGATAAATGAAAATAAAAAAGACAGTGACAAAATTTATTTCACTCACCTTATTCCACAGATCCTGTAGCCAGTATGGGAGCATTATTTTACTATCAGAAATAATATCACTGATCATCTTGGCAAAAGTCATTGTCATTTTGTAATTCAAAGTGTTCTATGTAACTTTTTAATTTCTATTACTATTTGACAGGCTGAGCTGTTCACCTGACTTGCTCTTATTTTCCTTGTTCATTTTTCTCCACTGTTCAGTCTCATATAAGTTATCAGTCTGTAAAGAGCTGTTGTTTTTCTGTTGTTCCTTCAGGCCAGTACTTCTTACTAGATTTTGCCTCAAAGCACTTTTTTATTGTTTAGCTTATGCAATGCATGCAAAACACAGTATCAAAGACAATTGTATCATGGAACTAATAATAATATTCTAGTGTTGGAGAAGGCGATGATTTTTTTTTTTTTTTTTTTTGTTCTCTTGGACACAAAATATTTGGTATTGTCAACTTTTCTATTTAAAAGTTGGATAAGTATCCATAAGGGAGTGCCCTTGGGCCCTTCTCATTTAATTATAGCTCACAGCCTCTGAAAGACATTTTACTTCTGTAGTCATGACTGCCACCTCTTACTACTTTTTCTTGCATAGATCTCAAAGCACTTTACGTGGGAAGTCATGGCCATTCTGCAAACGTGAAACCTGAGAAATGGGGAGAATTTGTGTAGAAGAAAAAAAAATATAAAACATTATAATTTAATAAACTACGTATAACACCATAGCAAACTTGCCGGGAGGAAAAAACAAAATACAAAACAAACAAAAAAAACAGTTTCAAGTCTAGGCTATAAGTCAAAAATACTAAATACAAAGGAATTAAAATCATCCATTAGGGTTTTTTTTTTTTCAAGGTTTAAAATGTGTCATCTCTTTAAAAAAAAAAAAAAAAGTTCTAGTACATTCTTCATCCAGACCCTCCTAACCCTACACTTTTTTATAATCTCTCACCATTTCAACATGAACCTATAATTCAGGAACATGCCAGGTTTCATTCAGTGTTTATGTGGCCTACTCATACAAACACTACCAATAAAAGGAGAAATTCCAGGGAGAAAGGGAAGCAGGTTTGGTCACTAGAAAAGCCAAACCTGAATATTTGAATGACTACCTTCAAAACAATGAAATCTGACCATTAGAAATAAGGTCTCCAAACTCCATATCTCATCAAAAGTTATGTGAGTTTTTCAGCCTCATTTCAGTTTACTTGGTTGAAGTTTCTTGCTTGATTTCTGGATGTGTTACATATAAGTGTTTAACACAACCTGTTTAATTCTGAAGGATTCTTACGGGGATAATACCTTAGTATTTTCAAAGTACCTTATCACTTTATGATTTGGATTAAAACCTCACAGCTTGCAAATTTTCAATTCTAGTCTTCGAACAACTGGCATTTTCTATACAGATATCCAGATTCGTTACACAATTAGGGTGTAGATTCAGAGACTCTCCAAAACATTACAAGGTAGTATAAATGATGCATCAAAAACTGAGGAATCAAAAGTCTTCCATCTTTGTTTTACTGGTCAGTCAACAATGAAAGTTGTTATCTGAAAATGTATTTACAGTGGTCTGTGAACTTCATGGCATACTTCAGTAAGATGTTAGTAGGTCAGTATAAACATCAAAATCATGACCAGTCTTAACACATTCAGAATCTTACTAGAAAGTTTAAAAAACACATTAGCTGAAATATGGATGTCTTCTCATCCTAAACTGAAGGTAACCAGCTTAACATCCCCTCTGTGAATTGGGATTTCACATGGAAAAACTAAAAAAAAAATAAAACAAAACACCACACTCTAGATCTCCTTATGTCCATAATGCCAACACAGCAGTCCATTTTGTAAGAAGGAAACAAGGAAGACACACAATGTCCTCAAATTTCAGGCATGGGTCAAGGTGTGGGAAAGATAGCTTCTGCATCCAAGTCATAAAAAAGCATCAAAGGGCATGTGTACATGCCATTAGTTCCCTTTAAAAACTGCAGCTGAGTCTCTCCCTGACTTCTTTCCCATTTTCTTTTAGAAAGGATTATCACCTCTCTCTCTGCTTGTCTGCTCAGATGACACATGCAATGGGGATGGGGGTCATCTTTTGCTGTCAAGGACTTGGTGCACTCAAGTTACATTCTTAAGTAGGAATCTTTTATTGCAACCACAATGAAAATCTGTCTGATAACATCAGAAATTTGCTCTTCTGGGACAGACAGTCTTTCTACACTCCTTTATTGCATCTTCCCAATTTTAGCATAAAATTCATCTGTTTCATCTCCTCTTTCAGTTCTCTGAGCACAACTTCTGAATGAATCCATGTTCTATTTTATCATCAAACTTAACATCCTTGCCCTATTACTTTTCTGCCTCATTACGCCATTAGTTGTTTTTTTTTTCTTCTATGTGTTTTTGCCTTGCCTTGAATGATATCTCCATTTACACCACTAGTGAAATCTCACCCCTATCCTTATAACATCTTAGTGGTATATAAAAGTTAATTCATGGCAGTTGATTAGGCAAGGAAAAGAAAGTCCATCATATATTGGTAAATGAGCATTTCAGCATGTATATTTTTCCACTGAAGACAAATTACATTAGAACTGAACTGCTTCTGAAGTTTCTTCTTTTCCTCTGCTGGATTATTAAGAACAGGAGACTGGCATCTAACCAAGAATAATCTAAAATTAGGTAAGGATGAACTAGGACATCAAAATGAGCTCAGGAGTGCTGGAGTGCTGCATCTTATTCTTCATGGCTGTATTTGTTAAATAGAACCTGAAAGAAAATACCTAAATCCAAAAGCACTATTTCTTTTTAAATACTTGGTATTGAATATAAGGATGAAGAATTCAGAATAACCACAAAGGATAATATTATAGTATGTATTCACCAGATTACTAAAATAATACATTGTATTGATATCTTTAATGAGCTTTCACAGAAGAAAACTGATGTTTTTATTTTGTGTATGAGCTACCAGATCTGATATTTTGCAGAGGCAAGTCCCTGGACATCAGTGTTGGTAAGGTTGCTGAAGTGCAAAATGTAAGTGCCCTAGCCATACTTGGAAGTCAGAAAACCTTTCCTTTTCTGCAATACAGCTATTTGTAATTTGTGGCTCTGCAGAGTGGTGTGATTCACATTTACCCTTTCTTTTCATAAGCTGATGCACTAAAGGGTTTGTTGCCTTCACTTTTTTTTCTTTTTTTCTTTTTTTTTTTTTTCTGTTCTACAGAAGCCATCTAGAACAATAGCTAGGTAGTACCAGATAGTGATTAGGCACCCCATGTAATGTTAGTGAGTAACTAACATGTAATGTTAGTTAGAAGCTAATAATTTATCTTCCAGCAAAGAAGACAAAATGCTCTCTATTTTGAAGCTTTTTTGTTATCTGATAGGCACAGAAACTTTCCTCAGAACAGTAATAAAAATGAAAACTACTTCTTAGTGACTTATGTCTTCTCTTCCTCAACATACATATTTCTTTTCCAGTATGGGCTGCATACTAAATGTCTACATCTTCTAGTGCATGCTTAACCATGGCATTCCATACAAAAATATTCTGAGAATGAATACTGAGTCTTACAGTATGGATAACATGGCTGTCTTAACTAAAGTCTCAAACATGCAGGCAATTCTTTATCTCATTCTGTTTCCAGCTCCCTGGGTTTTTCATAAGAGAGAATTTCTTTTGCATAATGTACACTGTATTCTTCTCTTTCGGTCTCCTCCCTGTGGAGTCAGGTCACCATTATCATTTCAACCTCCCTAAAGTTTGTTATGACCTCTGGTATCACTAAATGAAATATTTGCTCTCTTTGAATTCTTGTCACGCCTTGCAATGAAGCAGTAAGACTAGCATTTACCAGCTCTGTAGACGGAGTGTAATTCTCATACAATGTTCTACAAATTGACAAATTCCCTATGCCTTTATAATGTGTAACTCAATAGAGTTTTTTGTTTTGTTTTGGTTCGGTTTGTTTTTTTTTCCACAACTTTACTTTGTTTCTTATCTCAGTGCACACAGGGTTGTCAGTGTGCGTTGCCTGGGGCAGGTGAGTTTACAAGATGAGAACACCATCATACACTTGAAGTTTCCATCAGTTTTGCCCAGCAGACACTGAGAGATTTGAACAGATTACATTTTTGTTTTCTGAGAACAATCAAGGTCATGCCATGTTGATTGATCCTTTGTTTTCTACAGAGGTTGCAGTCTCCTGCCTATGTTTTAGAGATGAACTGTACAAGCAACAGAAGGTCATAGGCTATGAATGATGCTTACATAGAAAAGTATGAAACAAATGAGAAAGGTGATGATTTTCATTAAATATATGTAGATTACAGTGACTGTTAAGACTGCAAAATCTTACCTTCAAAAGGTTGTTCTCTGTATGAAGTATGAGTTCATTATATTTAAAATCCTGAAAATTAAATAATGAAAGGAAAAGACCCACATTTAGAAAATAAAATGAAATGATCAAATCCTAGATTGAAGTGCTGTAAAACAATTTACCGTCTGAAGACTTGAGCTGTAATACTAACCTTTTCTCCATACATAGATTGCAGTTTCATGTTAGAGTCATGATAACAGTTCTCCTAGTGCCTTCATTTCTAGCAACAGTAATCAGGGACAAGCTATAAAAAACTTAATATTTTGTTTTTGCTTTTGTTTTTTCTTTTTCTTGGGATGCTACTATAGGTATTTTGAATTATTAAAAAAAAAGAAAGAAAAAAATCTATCTCCAGTAACAGATTGACAATAATGTGCTTTCTGATCTATAAACATCTTGATGTCTACAGGGGAGGCAAATAACCATATGCTGAAGTTCCATGAGTCCAATGTTGTGGAAAGAAACAAGTATAATTGAATGAGATTCTGCATTAATTGAAACTGATTAGTTTATGGTTATCCTCTTGCCAGCTCCTACAACTGGTATCCACATCAAATACTGAGGTTTGTTTGTTTGTTTGTTTCCCTGCTCTTGTAATTAAAGCTAAAATCTTCATGTGAATTAGCAAAGAGGGAAGGATATGT